TTCTTAATAGAAAATAATTGATTTCTTGACACCACTTTTTCAATTTAATTAAACATAATTAAAATTAATATAACAAATGCCTGATCAAAAATTATAAACTTAAAGAAAATATTGTATTTCAACTAGAGAAATAAATAATTTTAATACATTAATACATTGGCTAGGAAATAATAAAATTATAATTTAACTTTTTTGACAATATATCATATTAGATACTTTAGGCTAAATGTATTGGTGTTAATGATATACTAATAACAAGTACGAAATCGGTAAGAAAATTCACTAAAAATTAAGAAACCAATAAATGAAAACTTTGTAAGATCAAGACGGATTACTAATTCTTATCTTAAAATGTTCTTCGAAGCTATAGAAATAAGAGAACTTCCATCCTTTATGAATTTCTATACAAAACAATACAAACAATATCCATGAATTGTTTTCAGATGAGGAAATTTGGAATTTAGCACATAAAACAGACAATTTTTAATTACCTTTAAAAAAACACCACTGGGACAGTTAAGTATTTCAGCAGCAACCCGATTTGTTGCTTTCAATGGGGCGACCTTGGTCTATTTTTACTTTATTGGGCTGATCTACAGCAGAAGACGGAGGGCCCACACGGTTCTTTATCTCTGCAGCCATTGTCAAAAATGCCTGTTCAACATTTGTTGCATTCTTTGCAGATGTTTCTAAAAATGGAATGCCTAACTGATCTGCATACTCCTAGGAAAACAAAACAAAAATATATATACAAATTTGGTAGTACTCCAATAGCAAATGTAAAAACTTATTGCATTTGCAAAATGCCAGATAGTGATAATAATACTTTATAGAGCAAATTCAAGATAAAATGATGTAACAAATTACTTTTGCTGTGGTGTAATCGACAACTTTCTTTGTAGTTAAATCGCTTTTGTTCCCAACTAGGAGTTTATTAACATTGTCACATGCATAACGATCTATTTCCTCTAACCACTGCTTGACATTATTAAAAGTATCCTGGTCAGTACAGTCATAGACTACAATGATTCCATGTGCACCCCTGTAGTAACTGGACGTTATGGTTCTGAAACGTTCTTGTCCTGCTGTGTCCCACTGTAAAAAATTGTATACATATTTTAAACTTAAACAAAGATAAAAGTGTAGTCTATGACACCCTCCTTGAATTTGACATAAATTCATGATCAGGATAACACTCATTACATTTGTTTTTTTTCTTTCTACCATAACCTTAGCATATTCGTCATTAATAAAAATGCTGGCAGCGCTACGTAAGTCTCATCACTTTGTGGAGTAAAATACAAGGATGGTGTAATAAACTACACATCTAACCAAACTGATTTTGAAGATGGACTTACAATTTGTAGCTTTATTGTTTTCCCATCCAGGTCAATAGTTCTGATTTTCTGAAAAGAAATACAAATTTATCAGATAAAAATTAATCAAATGTAAAAAAGAAACTTACAAAATCTACTCCAATTGTACTTATATAGCTCTCTGTGTATGTGTCATCCTGGAAAGAAGAAAAAGTAAATTCATTTTAGATAACATTTTAGCAATATTATTTGTTTTTAACTTACAGCAAATCTAAGTAAAAGACAAGACTTTCCTACTCCTGAATCACCAATCAGCAATAGTTTGAATAAATAATCGCTGGAAAACAGAGCATGAGGAAAATAAATAAGTACAAATGTCCACAATAATGATGAATCATTTTAAATAAGAACACAGCAAAGAAACATGCCTAACCTACTAGGATGTAGTAATTTTCTGTTAATTTTAATTTATTAGCACCACACTTTATTTCTGATATGATTCACAATTAAGTCCATTTAAATTAAAAAACATGGTTTTTATTTCTTAACTGCAGCATTAATAAATTTACAAAAAAAAAATATGATGCTACTAAGTTTGATCACATCCTTGTAAACCAATTCGCGTAACAACAAAAACCGTTAATGATTTTAAAATAAGTAATAAATAATAGCTAAAGAAAGCTTAATTAAGTGAAAAAACGATGTAATTACTGGTAGGTTTGCTTTTAATGCAGGTGTAAGAAATGACGTATCATGGTTTGACACCCATTTCGAAAAAACCAAAGCTATTGTGGGTGGCCAATACTGTCTATAAAAACATGCTTTGTTAATTTCCCGTAATAATATCAACATCAAAGGCATTCTTTAGCATAGTAACAAAATATGATTCGAAAGCAGCAAAATATGCAAATAAAACATCTCTTTCTGTCAAGTACAATATGATACGAACAATCGATACTTACTATTCTGGATTCATTTTCAAGACGATAAAATTGACAAATTACCCACAGCTAATTTCTAAAAACGCCTAAATCTAATTCGCTATACAAATATTATATTAATACAAAAATTTATGTACATAAATACGCAAAACTTGGACAATGGCTGCCAGAACTTCACTTGCAGCTATGTACACTTTGAACACTGACGTAACATGAAGTTTAATGCAAATGCGCACATAGATCTCTTCCCGTTTCAGTGGCGCCAAATTTAAATTGTATCTAAATATGCTTTACGTTTCAAACGAGTGAAAATAACAAATAAGCCCCATTTGGACTGTTCCAATTAATATTTTTTTGCAGTAATAATTGCACAAGCAAACAAACTTTTTATAAAAACGATAAACACTCTACTAAAGGGTAATCTTATAACGATTTCCTTAAAAAAATATTTTTCTGGGATTTTCTACACTTGAGAAAAATTTTCTTTCCTAATGAGTTTTTCAAAAAATACGTTTACAAACAGGGGGGGATGGTACATTGATTAGCATGACGCGGCATGACATGGAGTGAGGGGCCTCTAAGGAAACATGACGTTCACGATTCATAAAATTTATTTTACTTTTTTTCTTAACTATTGTTAGATTTTTTTTTTTATTTTATTGTTTGTAACTTGTGGAAAAGGAAAAAATGCAATATTAACTTAAAATGAATACCCTAAAAAGCAAGTCAAGTTTTTTTAAATACTATTGAGACAAAAGTAAATGATATCTACAACGCTTTGGTTTGGGGAAATAATAAGTTAATTAAGAAGACAATAATTTATAATAAATATTTTATTTAAGGGCAGTTACTTTTTAATAATGTTGTAACAGTCGAGAGACTGAATTGTTTATTTTAAAAAATGAGAACAATTTAATTATTCTTAAAGGTACTCATTAAAATTACTATTAACGATATTTTCAATTTATTAATGTGATTGCTATGCCATTACTGTATTAAAAAAATGTTTAAACGAAATACAACAAAACAGAGGAAACAACAAAAAAATAACATATTTTCCTATATAAACAAGTAGATACACCAATGATCCTCAACTCAAGTAAAAAAGAAAACTAAAATTATACTACAACAGGATAAGCAGGTACTACCACATTAAATTTAAAAACGAATTCGCATAGGCCATTGGTTTAACATTGGGATGGGGCTGAAAACAATTAAAATTAATTTAACTTAATAATTAAAGGACCTATATAAGACTTGACATAAAAAGCTAAAAAAGTCGCCAATTTTCGATTTCTAGGAGAAAATCAGGATTCAAAAACCGACAGAATCATAACTTAAGGAATACAACAGGGTTTAGTCACTTTTGATAAAAAAACTCACTTCTGTGTTCACAAACGGTTAAGTTGGAAATTTGGAAAAAATTAAGAAAAACATATATTTGGAGGTGTAAAACATCAACGGTGGGTGTGACGAAAAAGAAAAGTTAGAAGTGTTTAAGACATGTGCTGTTATAATATAATGAAATTAGAATTAAGGAAGCATTGAAAAAGTAGAAGAATAGAGGAAGTCAATGGGAGAGATAGGATGGATTGAAGGTGTATTCAACCAATTATTAGATGTGACGACTTTGAGGTGATAACTAATTAAAACTAATTGAATGCTTAACTTACCACTTCTTCATATGTTGTAAATTGTGGCTTCATATCTTTACCATTAAGGGTAATAAAAGCGCCTTTGTTTCCCATAGTATCACTGCAAAAAAAAAATTGAACAGACTAGCAAAATACACAGGGCATCTCACACCAGACACTTCCTTATTTATCATAGAATAAGAGTTCCAAAAAAATCTGCTATGCACCACCTTAATTATATCTCAAAACTGGAATCTTCTATCTCATTCCGTTTCAATTATTATTATTTTTGCACATATTCTTGTTGACCGTTTTTTCAATAAATAAACAAACAACTCCAATATTTAATTAATTATTATTTTGCAACCAAGACCATTTTTTGCAGCCCTTATTCTATTGGATTTGAAGAGAAACTGTGCATGTGCTAGTGAAACGCCCTGTTTATATAAATATTTTACTCAGTACCAGTAATTGGGAGCTGAAAATACTGTTATACATTTTCCATCATGAGCAACTTCGTAACCAGCACTCTTAACTTCATGACTTCTGATAATATAATCTAATTTATTATTTTCTAAGAATTTCTTCGTTACATCGGGACCGAATTGACAGCCCACTCCCCTTTTACTAGGTGCACGGCCGGCCTGAGGCTGCGGATCGCTCCATAATAATTCACACATTAACCCCTCTTCGGGGGGTTGCCCATTTCTATCAATCCTTCGAATTTCATCTAATGTAACATCATCTCGAGAAAATAATCCACCGTGCATCACCTAAAAGCGTAAAACAGGATAAATAAAAAATAAAATGCAATAATTAAACACAAAAATATTTGAAACTCACTAAAATTATATTTTCAAATTCTCAAAAGGGCAAGACAAAATAGCAAGAAAGTAAAATGTAGAAATGCTAATATTCATTTTCTTTCATTATATAACTTTATGGAGATTTGTAAGAGAAAGTATTAAATTGAATTAATTTGATTTACAATCACAATGTAGTTCCTCTATTATTATTATACGGACGTATATAAAAAATAGTTTACTAAAACTTACTAATACTCTTTTATTTAAACAATGTGCTAATGGTAGCCAATTGTATACTTCTGTAAAAAGTTCTGCCATTTGAGCAGTGTATTTGGCTTTAACTTCACCATCAAATCCATACATTTGATTCATATTGGCGCTCTCATGGTTACCTGAATTTAAACAAAAATTCTACATTAAAAAAAAATTATTAAGTAGCTTAATTACAATTTAACTCACCTCTAGACATAAAAAAGTGATTGGGATACAGAAGTTTAAATCCAAATAATGTAAAAATGCATTCAACTGAAAACGATCCTCTATCAACGAAATCGCCATTGAATAGCTAAGTATAAGTTAAGAACTATAACTATTTGCATTTTTTGAAGTGAAACTTCTTTATCGACGGTAGAAAAGAAATTTACTAGGGTATAAAACCGAAAAGTGTAATGTCACGCGTCACAGTGTCACGCGGCACGTGTGACCTCTGGTGTATATGTCCAAAACGAGTTATTTTAACAGGCTTCAGAAGCTAACCTGTTAGTAGCAACCGATAATCCGAAAATTGCCATTTCGACAAATTGTCAGCAGTTGGTTTGTAATTCCTCTCTGCAGTTTTATATGATGTAAGCATAAAAGTTTTTAACAAAACTATAACATATTTCGCATTTGTCCGCTCGAAATAAAGTTGTATTTTTCTGGTGTTTAACGCTTAGTTAATGCAATAGTTTAAAACATATAATATAAAATCTAAAAAAGTTTCATTTCTTACTCTTGTACATTAACACATGCTAGCCCCTTTTTTCTGTAAAAAAAGATTCTAAAAGGATACATATGGATTAGTAGGAGATGGTAATCCATTCAAGTCAAAGATATTCATAAGATCATAAAACTGACCATGTATATCACCACACACTGTAAACTTTTCATCATCTCCTATTGTTATGTCAACTAATGATGGCTGTTTCATAAAATATGTTTTTACATCCAAAAGAATCTTAAAAAAAAAGAATTTATTTACTTAACAAAATGACAGTTAAATGATGTTTATTTACCTTGTATGCATATTTTCTATGCAATTTCTCCTGCTTTTTGTAAAGTTCCATCAATTCCTTCATGAACTTTAATGTTACTTTACCATCTTCTAATTCTGGTCCTTTGTAATTAGTTTCAATTGCTAAAAAGAACAAAAAGCCAAGTAATTGTTTGGAACATTAATGTTATTTAAAACTTACTCATAGCATCTAAATTAATGGTATCAGCTATATTCTTTTTTGTATCAACAACAGCAATGGCCTTTTCAAATGCAATCTTTTTTACAATTTTGTAACACTCCGTATATTTCAATTTTGCATCCTTATCAGTTGGCCTAGCTTTGGTTACCTAAGAAAAAGTTGCAAACATTTTAAAATACCAGCTACAATTATTTTCTTAATAGAATTTACATATTCATAATCTTTAAGGGCATCTTTAAATTTTCCTAGAGACATATAAGCAGCAGCTCTTCTATAAAATCCTTTTATATATGACTTGTCTAGTTCTATTGCTTTTGATGCATCTAAAAGGGCATAACCAAAACATTCAGTTTTGAGATATGCAAAACTTCTATTTCCATAATAAATTGCCACATTAGGATTCAACTCTATCGCTTTACTGTATAATTCAATAGCTTTATTGTAGTCTTGTTCTAGAAGAAAAAAATCAAATAGACAGACTTGTGGGCAATTACTTTAAATAAAATAAAATAAAACGNGATAGGAGGGGTAGAGGTAGACCTAGATTAGATTACTGTTCGCAAATAGTTAAGTAGCTTGGAGTATAATAACGGCTTTCGTCCCTATCATAAAATGAACTGTTAGGGTCCGACTATTCGACCTTCAGCTTTTTTATTTTAGCTTTAAAAATTGACTAAGAAATTGAAATATCTAACATTACTATGCAGTGGAATTGATTCTATCTAATACTGAAGAAAGCATTTTTGCCATCCCTCATTTACACCGCCGGGGGCCAATGGTCCCTGCACCAGTTTATATTATACAAAATATTCTGAAATCTAATGTTAAGGCTTGTATGGTAAATAAACATTAAATTTTCAAATTTATTTTAGTTATTTATTGAAACGACCACTGTTAGCAACGTGTGTACTGTGTAATTGTCTATTCTGTTTTTTAGTTGGCATAAGACGTTAACGTGTGATTCTTCCTTATCGAAAACTTTCTCTCCTATTGCTATTTTAGTTGCACTATTTTCTGTTTCCTACTTCTCCCTGTGGCCTTTTGTTTTTGTTTTCTGGGTGTCACTAATGCTGATGGGCGGGCAGTCCCTCCGAACTAGGCCGGAAAGTAGGGCCCTCTTCAGCCTCTTTTCAAGAATCGTGGAAATGGGTGGGTGGTGGTTCAGGTGAGAAAGATGAGACAGACGAAAGGAAGACAGAAGAGAATGAAAAATTATATGTGTAATATTACTACCCCAGCATTTGCCTAAGTGATTCAAGGAAACCATAGAAAAACTCGGACCAAGGTAGATGGACCCGGAATCGAATCGAGGTCCTCCCGAATTCTAAGCATTAGCCTAAACCTCTAAACCAAGCCGCTCGGTCCTGTGGCCGGAGACCAATCTAATCATACATTCCATCCAGATTTCTATAGCTTTTCTTCTACCGATAAACTTGAAGATTCTTCTAAGGCTCCTCCTTCTGTAAATTACGGCGCGTACAAGTAATCTACGGAGCGGGTCACACCTCTCTTGGTCATCACCTTCCAGGCCTGTTGGAGCTCTTTGTCTTACTCCTTTTCGCCTTGCTCATTTATCGTGGTAACTATTTCTACCTGAGGACACTTCTATCTCTCTTTTTCTACCTTGATGGTATATTCGTAACTTGGAACTTACCAGTTCCATCTTGACTTTCTTCTTGTCAAGAAACTTCTTGGAACAGTCTACTATATCTATTCTCTGCGTATTAATGACTACGGGGGAGTTTCCACAGTCGTTTTTCTGGAATCCTTCATCTGCGAAGCGCCACGTTTTAAAGGACGTCTGTGGAACGCCTCATTCTTATCTAGCTCTATGAATCCCCTTCCATTATTCATGATATTTTCAATTTATGCACTTTATAGTTTAGGAACCTGTTTACGTTCCGCATTTTCCAAAGGTACCACCGGTAATTTTATTCCACAAACCCATCTCTAGAATTTCTCTCATTTTATCCTCTTCAGCTTGTAAACTTTATGTGTTATTTCATTGGCATTTACAAAAGACGTTTATAGTCCCAAGAAAGTCACCTGTTCCAGGAGATTCAAGTAATATATTTCTTTTGGAAGTTATACTTATACTGCGACCTTGGGTTTATTGTTTCCTTTCTGACTTACCTTAGTTTAAAATAGGAGTACATAGGTACTTACTTACAGTGGTCTATTATGCAAAATAGATTACTTGGTATAGATACTACGCAAAATTTATATTGATATTTTATAAATNTATTAACAAATTTGAAAAGTAATTATAAACACGGTTACTAGAAATAACACTACAATTAGTACTTCCATCAAATTTTTACTTTTCATTTATAGATCCAGATATTTCGAGGTAGTACCCGTCTCTTCATAATAACAGAATTTTATCTGAACAAAGCTATAATGGAAGAAAAAAATGAAATACCAACTTTAAAAGAATCCGAAGACACATCGCAGTCGATAATTTATTCTAAACGTAAAAAAAGGGTTGTGTTTGATAGTGATGAATCTGACCATGAAGGAAAAGCTTCAGAGGCAACTGAAACTACTACTGACAAAGAAACGACGAACAATTCAGAAAATGTTACGCTCCTAGAATCCCCTGAGACTGAAGACCAGTTAATAAACAAGTCTAAACCAACAAGTTTAGCAATTGTAGACGGGGATGATTCTGACACAGATCAAAAAAATTGTGAGACTGATGAGAACTTTTTAAAAGGAATTAATACTTTTGATGGAAGGGCAAGTAATAAGTTATGTGAATTAAGGATTGTTAATAAAGAAATTGAAGCAGATAAGAAAAATATGGAAAATCGATCGGTTCTAAATACTAATATGATTTACATTACAAATAGCAAGGGGCAGTTAATTCCTGAAGACACTTCTTTGTTTGAAGAGACTAAGGTAACTAATTTTATTGAGTTGATTAAGTTTAATTATTATTTATTTAATTTAGAACAAATTAAATGCTCTGTGTGACTCAGATACTTCAGAAGATGATAATAATGAAGACCCTGTAATAGAGATGGTTACTGAATTAAAGAATATTAAAAGTACTTCAAAAGCCGGTAATAAAAGAAGAGAATCAAGAAATCCTAAAAAGAAAACCAAAAAAGTTTGTGTAACGATTTACTGACTAAATGTTTAATTATAAAGTAATGTTTTTAAACTTGTAGATGACTGGTAAAGAAGCATTAGAACAACGCAAGGAAATTTTCAACGAGTCCCAAAAAAGACTACGAAACTTAAATGTGGCTATTCCATACCATAAACCAAAATCTCGATCACTTAAAGAATTTTTAAGTAGCAAACCTAAAATATCATCTACTGTGCCAAGTATTAATACACCTCCTTCTGTTGCTATTAAGTTAGCTTCCCAACAACTTAATATAATCACGTATGTTTTATTTTCATTAATAAAAAAAATATTTGGTAATGGCATTTAATTGTTTAATTTAACAGGGAAAAAATTAAGGAGCATGAGAAGGTGGTGCAAGTATTTTATAAGTCTGACAGTGAACCTGAAGATGATTGTGGGGAACAGGAGGATAAAGCTGTTTTAAATAGCAATGATAAAGAAAATGAAAATGAGAATAAAAATGGACAAGAGGCAAAATTACCACCAAAACAAATCAATGATAATGAGGAAGAAAACAGAATTATGAAAACTGAAACAATTATGGAAACTGCTGAATGTTTGAACAATAAAAAAGGAACTGAAGGCTTTTTAATGCTTATAGATGGAGAACAGAAACAAGTAGATTCTGTTAATGAAGACAAAAGCAGGCAAGATCGGTATCAAGTACCAGATGTAATAGAAAACCAAAATTTAAAAGAATATGAAAGTAATTCTCAAAGAATGAATGACGACAGAAATATTTCAGAAGAGCAGCTAAATTCATTAATCAGTGAAGAGCCATTAGACATTGTAGCAGATGATGAAGTTTTAGAAATAGAAAAGACACAAGAAACTTTACAGACAAAACCAGAAACAAACTTATATAAGGTAAATGACCAGACGATAGTGAAAGCTCAAAAAAATGATAATTATAATAATATAATTGAGAGTTCTACAATTGAAAAAAATAAGGATCTCGAAGTGGATACGTTTGAGTATGATTTCAATTTAGATGAAGTCGAAGTGGACAACATAGAAGAAAATGTTTTGAGTACTACAAAAGCTGAAGAAGTTGCAGTGAACTCAGTGTTTGATGAAAAAGAAGAGAGGATATTAAACAACATCATACAAAATTTTACTAATGTTGACCAACCAAAAGACACCACAAATAAACCTACAAAGTTACAGCTTTTAAAAGAAAAGCTTAACCTTTTCAAGCAACCAAAATTAAATGGAAATCCTGACGAGATTATAATTTTTGGTGATGATAAACCATCAGCTAATGGGATAAGTAAACTAAAAGGGCGTTTCTTGAGCCATGCATTATCAAAAAAGTCACACAAAAATGAAGTGCATACAGAGTAAAAACTATTTCTTTTAAAATGGAAATTTTATTGTAATTAAATTTTTTAGAGTTGTCAGTTTTGATGATGGGGAATTACGAAAAGAAACTGTAGTGATGACTGTAGATGTTGAAGATGAGCCTGTTACCATAGCAGAGAAACCAGGGGCAAAACTTCAAAAATTAAGGGATGAATTACAAAGTAAAATCATGAAGAATAAATATGAAAAATGGCAAACAAAATCTACACCGTTGTCTTCAAAAGAAAATTTATCAAAAGAAGGTCTTTATTTGATGTATTTTGTATTTTGCTTTTTTAATTGTCTAAATGTTTTCCCCTCAGAAAAGATATGCGATAGTTATTTAGATGATGAAGAAGAGGAGGCATTGTTATCAGATTCTGATCTATCAGATGACGAAGAAGAAGAGGAAGAAGATGAATATACAGTAGTTCAAAAGAAGACAAAGAAATGCGACTTCATTGATGAAGAGGTTTACTGTTATCTCAGTCATTGTTTTATTGTATATATATAACATATGATTGAATGCTTACAGGCTGAGGAAAGTGATGACGCAGAATTGGAAGAAGAGGAGGCGAATATAGATAAAAATAAAAATAAAAAACAACCAGAAGATTGTTTTGAAAATACTGAAAAGGATGGTATTCAAAAGGAATTATCAAATTCACCAAAAAAACTTAGAAGAATAGTGAAAAGGTTTGAAGACGACGACTCAGAGGAGGAAGAAAAAGAACAAACTGAAGATAACCAAAATAAATCTAATGGTAAAAAGTCAAGTGGCTTTAACGCAGAGTTGGATTCTACCCAGTCTTGTAAGTTATTTATATTGTAAAAAAATCTAGTAGTCTATTTGGTTAAACGGGCCTGATTATATGTATATAGATTCATTGCTACATAATTAATTTGTGAAACTTTTTTTTAGATGACGAAGATGATGTTTTACCAGCATATCAACTCAGAGCATCAGAGTCTCCTATTCGGCAACCTGCCGAATACAAAGACAATTTTGATTTTCTAACACCTGTGACGTTTTTGACAGGATTACAAAGCTATTCAGCATCAAAAGTAATAAATTAAAATGCTTATACTACTAATTACAACATATATTTTCAATTTTGTATGCAGTTTCTTAGAGAGTCCCCCAAGGACACTTCCTTTCCCTTGTTGAACTCTTCGCAGTCAAAAGATATTGACAATAATACTAACCAAGAAGATGAAGATGATGATGAGAACACTTCGCAACAACCTGGTGGACCTCAAAGGAAACTAGTGTTCGATTCAGTAGACCCTATCACGAATTCTGAAACAATTTCAAGTCAGGTACTGATTATAATAAAGTAGATTAATTTTTATTATTTATTTTAATTCAAAAGTAATAGAGTTAAAAAAGGTAGAATGGTATGGATCACTGCTGGGTTGATAGAATCATGTAGAAAGGCGAAAGGATAAATTGTATAAGGACTGGAAGGATAACATGTATGATAATGACTTGTTTATCATGTGCAAATCTTATTCTGTTTTAATGAAAAAGTTAATTTTAAAGGCCAAAGACAATTATGATAAGGGTAGGATACGTAGGACACTAAAAAAATATGGGATTTTGTTAAGGAACAGTTAAATGTTAGCAAAAAGAAAAATAACCATATTGATTATATTTTGTTTGGTGAATAAAAAGTGAGAATAACTCAGTCTATCCAAATAGCAAACTGTTTTAGTGAATATTTTAATACAATAGTCTTAACTGTTGAAAATATAACTGAACCTTCATCAAGACCGCTGTGACAGACGAGAGTTATTGTCCTAATAATTTTTTCTTAGAGCCTGGTAATTATGTTGAAATTAATATAGTTATTCACTTGTTACAAAGATAAAGCCGGTGGAAAAATTCTAAGGTCTTTAAGTGATTTCATAGCAAAACTGCTAGCTTATATTATTAATAGAATAATAGATACCGCGTATTGTCCTTCTCATATTAAAACTGCAGACATTGTTTTTTTCTTTAAAAGTGGCAACGTGCATGACATTAGTAAATACAGGCTCTTATCTCTGGTCTCTTATTTAACTAAAATTTACGAAAAAAACAAATATATAGATAGCGTATCGCCTACTTTCTTTTCTTTTTTCTCTTAAGCTACTGCTGTGAATGGGCTAAATCTACTCTCCTTGCAGCATCAAATGCGCAAGGTAGTTACATATAATTTTAAAATATAGTGCTTAACAAATCGATTGATATTGTATATAACTTGTGTATTTGATTTGGTGGCAATAAACAATTTATTTATTTTCATTTTCAGTCTGATATGGAGAATATTGCTTTACTATGTTCTGGCACATTTTCAACCCAGCCGGAGAAAGACACAGTAGATAATTTACAAGAAATGTCCAACGTAGATCAGTCACAAGCTATTAAACATGGGGATAAAGAAGTCTCAAAAAGCTCGGAATCTACCAGCAACAGAATTGTTGAAAAAGTATTTCTTGACAAAATTGACAAGGAAGTAAAAAATTTGAACAACAGTGAATATGAAAATATATTTATTTCTCAACTGCTTGATGAAGAAGAAATGAATAATTTTAAAAAGAAATTTGAATCTCCAGTAAATGATAAAGAGCTTGATTTAGATACGAAATTAGCTTTAAATGAAGATTGCGAAGTGAAGATTAAAGGAGGGCGATTAATATTAGATTCCTCAGATGAAGAAACGCTCGAAGATTGTGAGGGAAATTTCAAAAATTTGAAGAAAAAGAATAGCATGAAGAAGATTACTTTTTCAGGTAAGATATCGCTTTACAAGCGAGTAAAGGATAATCTAACTTTTGTAGTTATATATAGATGATGAAAGTGATTCTGATGAAGAAAATAATGAGAACCAAGAAGAAATAGATTTGCACGATGATGTGATTGAAAATGAGGAAGAAGAAAATTTAAATACTAGTAAGAAAAATGTGAATTATGACTCTGAAGAAAATGAAATTGAAGATAACGAAAATGAAGATGATAGTGATGACAAAGAAGGTAACTACCTTTTTGTTAAGAAAATACTACTTAAATACATATAATTTTATGTCTAATTTATTTTAGATATAGTTCCTTTGAAACCATCAGACTTCTTTGAGAATGAAGCAGAACTGTCGGAATCCGAATGGGGTAGTGAAGACGAAGTAGAAAATGAAGAATTAGATAAATTAGAAATTGAAGAAGGTGATAAAGAGAAATTTGATGAAGTGGAGGTGCGCAGAAATTTAGAGAAGATACACATGTAATAAATAAATTAATTTGTTATTTGGATTAGTCTTAAACATTTACGATTTATTCGCGTTTCAGGCGTCAGGTGTTGGATGACGACAATCGTGAGATTAGAATTTTACAAGAACTTCTTTTGGAAGATGGTGAGCTTCATGGAAGTGGAAGAAAAAGACAATTTCGTTGGAAAGATATTGGTACATACGCAGTTTCTTATTACTTTAATCGTTGTCTAATTGTAGATACCCTTTTTATTTAAAGATTTCCTGTTTGGTAACGAAAGCACCGGCAAAGAGAATGATGAAGACAACGTTAGCAATCAAGACAAAACAGAGAGCGAGGAGAGATGGAGAAAAATGAGATATTATCGTGAATTGTTTTTAAAAGAAGTATGTATCGTGTTTAATTTTACATGTTAGAATTAATGTTAATATTTGTTGTTTCAGAAGATGAAAAAAGATAATGTTATCAAAGAAAGTGAAATAACGTTTTTAAGTAGCAGCCATCAGATAATGGAGTTAGGTCAGAAAGCTTTACAAAGAAGCTCATCAGCCTTACAAAATAATGCACAAGCAACGGATTTAAAAACACCAAAACAGAACAATAGCAGCTATGATGAGCCANGCTCTAGCTTTAGGGAAATGCGAAGATTAGCGCAAGATAGGAAAGAGTGGAAGTGCGTGTCCAACTAGTCTTAGGACTGACGACCTTATGATGATGAACTATAAAAAACAGATAAAACTAACGAATGCATTTATAGTAAGTTAAGATCAAAGTCCGCCAACGACCACTGGTCGATTGAAGAGTTAGTTTGTGTTTTCAAAACGACCATTGTTAGCCGCAGTCGTTTCACAATGTACAAAATCCGCCTAACCTTTCTCTAGGTTTCAGCCGAGCTTCAGCATAGCATCAGGAGTTTATTTTTATTATTTTATTTTGCATCATTTTGCTAATGGTATTTATGAAATTTACCATATTATTTTGCAGTGCTAGATGTAAATAGAATATAAAAAGTATCTTGTTTATAGTAGAACATGCGAAATCTATAGTGGTATGTTTTTCTGAGATTGTTACGGTTTCAGCTTTTATAATCGTAGGTATTCTACGACGTACATTTGTTACTCTGGTAGCTTGGAGTATAATAACGGCTTTCGTCCCTATCATAAAATGAACTGTTAGGGTCCGACTATTCGACCTTCAGCTTTTTTATTTTAGCTTTAAAAATTGACTAAGAAATTGAAATATCTAACATTACTATGCAGTGGAATTGATTCTATCTAATACTGAAGAAAGCATTTTTGCCATCCCTCATTTACACCGCCGGGGGCCAATGGTCCCTGCACCAGTTTATATTATACAAAATATTCTGAAATCTAATGTTAAGGCTTGTATGGTAAATAAACATTAAATTTTCAAATTTATTTTAGTTATTTATTGAAACGACCACTGTTAGCAACGTGTGTACTGTGTAATTGTCTATTCTGTTTTTTAGTTGGCATAAGACGTTAACGTGTGATTCTTCCTTATCGAAAACTTTCTCTCCTATTGCTATTTTAGTTGCATTATTTTCTGTTTTCCTACTTCTCTCTGTGGCCTTTTGTTTTTGTTTTCTGGGTGTCACTAATGCTGATGGGCGGGCAGTCCCTCCGGACTACGCCGGAAAGTAGGGCCCTCTTCAGCCTCTTTTCAAGAATCGTGGAAATGGGTGGGTGGTGGTTCAGGTGAGAAAGATGAGACAGACGAAAGGAAGACAGAAGAGAATGAAAAATTATATGTGTAATATTACTACCCCAGCATTTGCCTAAGTGATTCAAGGAAACCATAGAAAAACTCGGACCAAGGTAGATGGACCCGGAATCGAATCGAGGTCCTCCCGAATTCTAAGCATTAGCCTAAACCTCTAAACCAAGCCGCTCGGTCCTGTGGCCGGAGACCAATCTAATCATACATTCCATCCAGATTTCTATAGCTTTTCTTCTACCGATAAACTTGAAGATTCTTCTAAGGCTCCTCCTTCTGTAAATTACGGCGCGTACAAGTAATCTACGGAGCGGGTCACACCTCTCTTGGTCATCACCTTCCAGGCCTGTTGGAGCTCTTTGTCTTACTCCTTTTCGCCTTGCTCATTTATCGTGGTAACTATTTCTACCTGAGGACACTTCTATCTCTCTTTTTCTACCTTGATGGTATATTCGTAACTTGGAACTTACCAGTTCCATCTTGACTTTCTTCTTGTCAAGAAACTTCTTGGAACAGTCTACTATATCTATTCTCTGCGTATTAATGACTACGGGGGAGTTTCCACAGTCGTTTTTCTGGAATCCTTCATCTGCGAAGCGCCACGTTTTAAAGGACGTCTGTGGAACGCCTCATTCTTATCTAGCTCTATGAATCCCCTTCCATTATTCATGATATTTTCAATTTATGCACTTTATAGTTTAGGAACCTGTTTACGTTCCGCATTTTCCAAAGGTACCACCGGTAATTTTATTCCACAAACCCATCTCTAGAATTTCTCTCATTTTATCCTCTTCAGCTTGTAAACTTTATGTGTTATTTCATTGGCATTTACAAAAGACGTTTATAGTCCCAAGAAAGTCACCTGTTCCAGGAGATTCAAGTAATATATTTCTTTTGGAAGTTATACTTATACTGCGAACTTGGGTTTATTGTTTCCTTTCTGACTTACCTTACTTTAAAATAGGAGTACATAGGTACTTACTTACAGTGGTCTATTATGCAAAATAGATTACTTGGTATAGATACTACGCAAAATTTATATTGATATTTTATAAATAATAATTTTTAGATAAATAATACTTTTAAAGTATATTTAAAAAATGTAATAATTCTCCCGATTCACTTAAAAATT